GAAAGCCGCATCTCACTCAGGACCACCGGGCAGCTGAACTGGTTTATGAGATGGGAGAGAGGAGCTGGGCTACAGCTGAAAGGGGATGGGCTTCGTAGGTACATCAAGGGTTCTGATCCTCCAGGACCTCAGGAAAAGGACTCGCTTTCCCAGAGGCAGGGTGTCAGGGGTCCAGTGAGGGGCTGTGGTTGTGTTGCTGAGATGGTGACCCCAGGCTCTCCTTTGGCTGATGATGATCCTGAACGTCTTACCCTGCCTGAGGCTCCTCCTCCTATCAGGGAGCAGGTGGGTGGTGTGGCACTTGGCACTGTGGGGTCGGGGCATGTCACAGGCTTGGGGAAAGGTGTCCTGGGACACCTCTGGCAGTGGAGAATGGAGGCGCTCAACCGCCTCCGTGGGCACTTCGGCAGCCAGCGTTCTCGGCACGAGAGGAAGCAGTCTCTCTCTGACAGATGAAACAGTGACGCCTGCGACTTCCACGCTCACAATGAAGGTCCCAGGCGTTGTGAGTGTGAGAGTCTCTGAGCCAAGTATTAACTTCAAAACGAGTTCGGCTTCAGACCCCCCACCTGTGGCGCGCCACCGGAGATGGAAGAGGAGAGTGTGGTCCTTTGAAGAGAGACTAGGCTGGCCCTTGTTCTGCCGCGCTTTGTAGCTGTGCTCTTCCCTCGCCACGTGCCGGGAAGCGGAGGCCAGGTCCTGCTGCCGCAGCCTCGGAGCCCCTGGAGAGGCCTAGAGCACCTTCACCCTGGGCAATGCGCTTCAGGGCCATGCGCGGGTGCATTTTGGGATCCTCGTAAAGATGACTTGAATTATGCCCTACTTGGTTTGGCTCAGTGGATAGAGCCAGCAGACTGAAGGGTCCTGGTCAGGACCCTTCCCATGCCTAGTCTGTGAGCTCCATCCCAGTAGAGGGCGTGCAGGAGGCAGCCAATCAATGATTCCCGTCATTAATGTTTCTCTATCTCTCTCACTCCCTCATCCATCCTCTCTGAATATATATATATATATATATATATATATATATATATATATATATATTATATTAATATATTATATAATATATATTATATTAATATATATATATATATTTTTTTTAAGATAACTTGAATTATAACACTAAGGGCTCAGGACCATCTGAAAACGATACTGATTGACCTGACAGGTTAGATTTAGCTTAGCAGATCCCCGCCCTGGTGTCTCCAGTGCGGCAGCAGAGCTTTGCTTGTGTTTGCCCTGCAAATGGTGATGAAGTGCAGCCTGCTGGCTGTCACGGATCCATCCCCGGTGGGTGCTTACTGTGTTCAGAGATACAGGAATCCTGGCACTGGTCGAGCCTGACCTAGAACAGGGAAGAGTGCCCTTTCCAGTCGCTCAGGGACCATTTGTGACCTGAAACAAGGAGACAGGTGAGGAGGTGTTTCCAGCATGGCCTGTGCTGCTGCCAGGGCTGGGGGTTTGAATCCCCTGGTGAAACCGCATCCTCACTCCCACCCGCAGTGAGCAGAAACATGGCCCAGCCTGCGTGTGCTGTTGGCAGGCAGAGTTCCCAGCAGGCTGTCAGGGCTGGAGGGGAGGCCAGCTGTCTCAGGGGCCTTGATGATTTTCCCCTGGACTCCTCAAGAACAAGGAGACACAGGTTCTAGATTTTTGTGGAATACATGTCGTCCTCAGCTCTGAGACTATTCATTAATTCCTAAGGCAGTGTGAGATCTCAAATTCAGCCACCTACAATTTAAAAAGTTTGCTGCTGCATTGGCCGGGAATCGAACCCGGGCCTCCCGCGTGGCAGGCGAGAATTCTACCACTGAACCACCAATGCTCCAGCTGTCAGCAGCTGTGTGAGCACCTCCCTTTAATTTCAGTCCTGCCTGGATATATACTGATTCAAACCAAGGCCAGGCTCTAAACCTGCCACATCAGCGCAGCTGGAAGAACAGGAAGCCTATGTGGAGGCAGAGTTGGGAGGGAGGGAGGGAGGGAGGGAAAAGGGAGACGGGGAGAGGGATGCCTTCAGACCTCAGGACAGAAACTAGAGCTCAAGTCCTCAGTAGCAAAAAGCACATTGCAACTTTGGGTGACTTTCTCCCCTCTGATGTCTCTAATGGGTGGGTCCTCCCATTCTGTGTTCACATGTTAGTTGAGCTGTTTTTAGGTTCTCGGGTTTCACCACAGTTTCCTGCTGGAAGCTGGCCAAGGTTGAGGGGGCCCAGCAGGAGTCCCCTCACTGGTGAAGGGCTTGAGGCCTTGGTCCCACAGCCAGCAGTGCCTCTCTGGAGAACCCTAATGCTGTCCACGCACTGGCTGAGCAGGGAAGTGTGGTTAGATTCTCAGCCCTGGGGCTGCTGCAGGCCTGGCAAGGTTGAGGAGGCTGGCTCCTCCAGGGGGATCTCTGTGTGAGGGGGAAACCTGCCAGGGAAAGGCAAAAAGAACAGCACTGCATTGGCCGGGAATCGAACCCGGGCCTCCCGCGTGGCAGGCGAGAATTCTACCACTGAACCACCAATGCTCAGGCTGTGTGGTGATGCATCTTTAGGGCTTTTCTCAAGGGACTGTATCTTATGGAGGCACAGAAGAGGCCTAGCAGATGCTGGCCTCACCTGGCTGGTTCGTCCTGTTTGGAAAGCCAGACTGGTTTATAGAGAACCACCCTTGCTGGGCCTCATCCTGCTTTGGGAGGGGCAGGGGGAACCTATGAAACTGACATTGAGTTTACACCCGGAGGCCCTTGATTTGTCCAAAACCTCTGTACAGTACGACCTTGGGTTATGCTAGAGATCCTTTCCTACGGTGCAACGTAACACGATTTTCTCCATAAGTCGGAACCCACCTGCATAAGCACCTACGTCACTCACATGGAGCACATACACAGCAGTAATGAAGTGAAACAGTAAAAAAAATAAATTAATTAATTAAAAAGAAAGGTAACAATTCCTGGCCTTTACTTGTGGTAAATAAATAATAAAAAAACCATAAAGCACATAATGGACATACATGAAAATGACCAAACTTTTTTTTATAAATAAACGGGAGATGGCGATATAACCTCGAAACGACGTGACATACGTTGAGTCCGACGTAACCCAAGGACTGTCTGTACCTGGATGGACTTGGTGGAATCTCATTCTCGAAAGATCAAAGGAAGAGGCACCTCCCAGGCCATTGCACAGCCCCTTCCTGACATGCCCGGCTCTGCACTCGCGTCCACCAGCTCAGGAACCAGCCAGTTTGTTCACCTGTCCGCACAGTGCCCGGCACAGAATAGTGCCCCATACAGCTTGCTGCATTAAATCTTTATCAAACCCTGCCCAACCCCTCATTGAACAGCGTTTTTGCAGGCCTGGTCACTGCCGCATAGGGTGGCACATTTCTCTTTGGACTGCCCTCATTACTAGCAGGTTCCTGACCCTGAGCAGGAACCACATAGGTTAATTGATACCTTTCGGACTTGATGTTCTTAAAAATTCTTCAAGCAAACTTGCCGTTTATACAACAGGCAAACAGTGTACCTGCCTTGATGGGCACAAAGTGATCAGACAGAGAGTTCAGGCAGCTGCTTGTAAAGTCCCTAATCCCTAGACCGCCCTCATCCACGGTCCCTCCCCGTCCATCTCGGGCTTCTTAATACTCTTTCTGAAGGACATAGTGTCTCGGCCTTTATGTCCACTGGGGTGTGAAAACAGACTGGTCCCCGATGGATCTGAGCCTCCTGTACTCTCCTCCACTCAGGGCAGGGCTGCCTTGGGAGCATCCCCTAGCCCAGTGGTCGGCAAACTCATTCGTCAACAGAACCAAATATCAACAGTACAACAGATTGAAATTTCTTTTGAGAGCTGAAAACCGACTTCTGCACATGGGCCACAAAGTTTCAATCGCACATACGCACCACACGTGGTATTTTGTGGAAGAGCCACACTCAAGGGACCAAAGAGCCACATGTGGCTCTCGAACCTCAGTTTGCTGACCGCTGCCCTAGGGGACCACAGGCGCCATGAGCTCAGACCTCCCTCCTCCCTGTTAGCGTCCCATAGCTCTGCTTCTTCTCCCGTGTGTCATGGGCTTCTCATGCTTTCCTGTAGAAAGTAAAACAGCCCCTCCCTGCTCTTTCCCATGCCTCGGCCATCCTGCAGCCTCTCCCTGCTGACCCTGATGGCTGTGGGGCTCTCCTGTGGGGATTTTCAGTTTCCTTCTGTCAGCCCAGCCTTCCCGGGCGGCCCCCAGAAGCACTGCATCTCAGCACAGATCTGAGCGAGTCACCCCATTGCTGGCAAACTGGCTCCAGCTTGTCGTTTCCTTTAACTGTCTGGTCGCTCCTTCCACACACCAGACTCCTCGTCCTTCCCTAAGCACGCATGTCTTTTCAGAGCTCCTTGCCTCTGCTTCCCTGTCCCTGAGATAGAACACCACGCCTTCCTATCCCTTTACCCAAAAACACCTATCGATCTTCCTAAGATCTGACTCAAATGGCCAGTCAGCCCAAGCAAGTTGGCTCATGACATTTGTCTTGCTTCTGTAGCATCAGTGTGGCTTCTGCAGCCACCCTGCTGCAGTTTGGTGCTTGTCCATGTGTGGATCTTGCCCATTGGACGGGAACCTGGTTCAGCACCATCCCTGGAAATAAAGACTCGGACCCAGAACCTCTGGCCTGCTGGCATGCCCGAAGGGAGGGTTGAGCAAGTATTGAATAAAGATGGTTGACCAACTGATAACGCATTGTAGTTTTTGTTCCCCAACAAGGTGTTCACTTGCATTCTGTCAGATTCCCGGAAGTGAGATAGCGCCACTGTTCCTCATTCTGTTGTACACAAAGGGAAACTGAGACCCAGAATAGGGAACAGCCGTGACCCAGCCAGCGCCTCCCCGTCAGCAGCAGCCCTGGGAAAGGCCTACCCTGGCGTGCCTGCTCCCAACTCCTCTCTCTAAACCGGTCATCTCTCCCCCTCCTGCCAGCCCCGGCCCTGGAGCAGCAGCGGGACAGGCTGATTGCACTGGCCCTGCAGCCCCTCTCCCTCTCTCTCCAGGCTGGTCCGAGAGTTCGTGGCCCAGAACAACACCGTGCAAATCAAGCATGTGATCCAGACCCTGTCTCAGGAGTTTGCCTTGTCTCAGCACCCCCACAGCCGGAAAGGGGGCCTCATCGGCCTGGCCGCCTGCTCCATCGCGCTGGGCAAGGTGGGCCTTTCTCCCGGAGGGACAGACACACCAGCCATGGCCTTGACTCTGACCCGAGACCCTACAGGGCTTTGCAGACCTGTGTTTTATTGCCAGTCTCTCCACACCTAAAGCAGCAAGGTCTTGCAGCCTTATGCCCTGGCCTGGCCCCTGTCCTGGGAGGCCAGCCTGCAAAGAGCCTTTAAGCCTAGCCCCACACAAAGACCTGGGATGTCAAGTGGCACCAGGGACTAGTGGGGAGGGGAAGGGAGATAGAGGCGGGGAGCAGGGATACTGGCTGGCCTTTTTTGACCTGTTTCTCCTCCTCCCCACCCCAGGACTCAGGGCTCTACCTGAAGGAGTTGATTGAGCCGGTGCTGACCTGCTTCAATGACGCAGACAGCAGGCTGCGCTACTACGCCTGTGAGGCCCTCTACAACATCGTCAAGGTGGCCCGGGGCGCCGTGTTGCCCCACTTCAACGTGCTCTTTGACGGGCTGAGCAAGGTGACCGCTCCTCACTCCGGCTGGGCTGAGCTCGCTCCACCCACCTAACCGGACCTTCCAGGACCTCAGTGCTTGGGCCCCTTTCCCAGATGCAGGCCGAGCAGATAAACACAGAGTTGCCAGGGGCACTTGTCTGTTCCATCTAGTGATGTTTTTAATGGGCTTATATTTATATATTTTCCCATTTCCCTATTCATTTACCTTTACTGCAGTTTATGAAAGTACCTGCAGATTGGAGGGGGAACTGATAGTTTGGAAAGCCTAAGCTTCCCTATAGAAGGGGAAGATGGTGCATCCGTGTACAGAGTGTAGTTCCCCTGTGAGGAGAGCGCCAGCCTGTAAGGGCTCGGGGAAGCGCTAAGTTCATGGACTCCCTCCCAGGCACCAAGCTCTGCTGCCGGCTGATGCCATAGTCACTGCTGGAGTATCAGCCTCACAGCTGCCTTGGTCCCCTCCTCCAAGAGTGGAGAGAGGACCCGGCAAGTTAAGATCCAAAACCCTAAGAAAGGCGGACCGGAAGCAGCCTCCTGACCCAGGGGCAGCAGGTGGTGGGACTTCCAGCAGGTCCCAGAAGTCCCTGACAGAGCGGGAAGTCCACCCAACCTCAGTTCACTAGCCAGGACCCATTTTGCCCATCCCACTTCCCCTGCCTTCCTTCGGTTTATTTATTGAATAAGTTTATTCACCCAAAGAGGAACCCGTTCAGTGTTCCGAGCTGCGCCAGGGCCTTGGCCGTGGGTTTTCCATAGAAGTCGTGACCTCTGCCATCTCTCTTCTCTGTGTCTTGTAGTTGGCTGCTGACCCAGACCCCAATGTGAAAAGTGGATCTGAGCTGCTAGACCGCCTTTTAAAGGTATTTGTACTCGGTGCCCACTGTTCTTTCTAGAATCTATTTCTCACATCTGTCTGTACAACTTATAAATTCTGTCACTGGGGCGCGCTTCCTAATTCGTTTAAATTTGTTCATATACATGCAGTAAAGGTCACTCTTTGACATACAGTTCATTGATGTTTATCCTTACCTTGGCTGAGCTTGATGAGTGTGTGGACTTAAGGCACCAGCACAAGCAAAATACAGAACGGCTCTGTCACCCATTTTCCTCTCTGGCTGCCTGACCCTCGGAGCCAGCCCTGGGCGGGGCTTGGGCCAAGCCAGGCCGCCCCTGCCTCTGGCTCACTCAGCAGCTCACGCGCCTTTGGCCCACAGGACATCGTGACGGAGAGCAACAAGTTTGACCTGGTGGGCTTCATCCCCTTGCTGCGGGAGAGGATTTACTCCAACAACCAGTACGCCCGGCAGTTCATCATCTCCTGGGTAAGGGCCGGCCCAGCACCCTCTCCAGCCGGGACGAGCCTCTGGCTTGGTCACATCTGCTCTCTGGACACCTGGCCAGGTTCTGTGGCTGCAGAGGCGCCTCATTATTAATCTCATCGCCAGTGACACCACATAATCTGAACAAACGTTTATTCAGCTTGTCCCTGTGAGGATACAGTTCTTTCCTTTTTCTGAGAAACTCCAGTTTCCCTTTAAAGCCAGTAGGCTACTTCTGACAATCACACCTCTTCTAGATTATCTGTCCCTTCCCATGTACTCCCCGCTCCCCCATGGCATCTGAATTTCCTGGTGGTTACGATACTGTTCCCCTGCACTGTTAACCAAAGCCATAGCTGCTAGCACCTCTCTGCCCACATGTGCAGGGGGCACCCGCAGTGCCAGGAAATGCCGCCTCAGCAGGCCCTTCTCACTGCCCAGGCCCCGAGGGTTGGGGAGGAGGAGGCGGCGATGGCTCTGGGCTGGGGTAACATTCTCTCCTGGTTTCTTCCCCTGGGTCAGATCCTGGTTCTGGAGTCGGTGCCAGACATTAACCTGCTGGATTATTTGCCAGAGATCCTGGATGGACTCTTCCAGATCCTGGGTGACAACGGCAAAGAGATTCGGAAAATGTGAGTGGAGGAAGGAGGCAGGCAGCTGCCACCATCCAGAGCCCCTCAGTGCGCACACGTATCCCACACAGACAGACAGCGGGCAGCAGAACAAGAAGTTCCTGCTCTTCTTCCTGGTTTATGTGCTTCCCAACATGAGGAGCTAAGAGCTCAGCCCCCTGCCTCTGACAAGTTCATCTGACAAGTTCATCTGACACAAGTTCAAAGTGTCGTTCCATCTGGGTGGCTGACCCAGAGCAGAAATGGGCCCTGGCTGCCATATGCTACGTCCCTTCTCTCTCATTGGCAGGTGTGAAGTGGTCCTTGGAGAATTCTTGAAAGAAATTAAGAAGAACCCCTCCAGTGTTAAGTTTGCCGAGATGGCCAACATCCTGGTGATCCACTGCCAGACCACGGGTGAGTGTGTGAAGAACCAGGCCCTGCCACCCCGTCAGACGCTCCTTTCTCTCTCACCGTCTGGGAAAGAGTCCGGGCAGGAGTGGGAACCGGCACAACGCGATCCCGAGCAGTGGAGAGCCGGGTCCTTGTGAGAGAGATGCAGGTTCTCTCAGCACGGAGGCCCTTTCCTTGGCTGGACCCTGGAGGGGTGCACAATCTGGAGGCCCTCTTGGTGGGAAGCCGGCCTTAGCACCGTGCGTTGAAATGCTTGTGGCTAGGATTGTGTTTCCGTTAGCTTCTCTTGAGGATCAAACCTCTGCAAGATGTAATTGCTTGACACAGCAGACTTACTATTGGTCACGAGTCTGCGGTCTGCTGGGTGGTTCTGCGCACCTGGGCGAGGTGTGGCTGGGCTTGGCCACGGACCTGCAGTCAACTGGAGGGGCAACTGCAGCTCCGTGGTCTGGGTGGCCTCACTCGTGTCTGGCAGTTGGCTGGCTGTCTCCTGGGTCCCTGTGTCCTTCCAGCAGGCCAGCCCAGTGCACTCACATAGAAGTGAGCAAGGCCTTTTGAAGCTTAGGCGTAAACCAGGCACATCATCACGTTACCACCTTCTGTTGGCCAAAGTGGAGAAATGGACTCACCCTTGATGAGAGAAGCTGGGCAACCCCATTGTGGAGGGCGCAGACGCAGAGAGTGGGGAGAGAATCGTGGCTGCTCTTACAGCCTGCCACAGGCTGTTGCTCCATTCCAACATGGAACTGGATGTACCCCGGGGGAGGCAGAGATCAAGGGTGAGAGGGTACTGGTGAGGCCACTAGCAGCAAAAGCCCTCAGGGCCTCCCAGTCCCATCTGTGGGCATGGTCGGTGGGAGGGAGCGTTTCATCCTGGAACCCGCCCCTCCCTCTGCCAGACGACCTGATCCAGCTGACAGCCATGTGCTGGATGAGGGAGTTCATCCAGCTGGCCGGCCGGGCAATGCTGCCCTACTCCTCTGGGATCCTGACCGCCGTCTTGCCCTGCCTGGCCTACGACGACCGCAAGAAGAGTATCCTTTGCTCTGGAGAAAGGAGGCGAGAGCAGCCCCGCAGGGCGCCGTGAAGTTGCAGGACCCTGCAGTGGGGTGGGTCTCCCTTGGGATGGGGCACCTCCCGATAGTCCCTGGGATCAAGGGAACGGGAGGTGTTGCTGAGCACAGACTGGGAGCGCCAAGACAGCACCAAAGCTGTCCTGCTTGCTTACAGATCTGGAGCAGCTCTGGGCCCACGCTCCAACCCCTGAGCTCACTGCCCAGCCAGGGTGGGGAAGTCCTGTTGTTGGGAAGGGCCCCTGCGCGTCACAGAGGCATCTTGAGGGGACACCAGTGTGGCAGGACATGCACTCTGTTCAGACTGCCGTCTGCCCACTAACACGCCTCTGCAGAGGACCGAGCCCTGACCGATGCCGGTGCACTCGGGCTTAGGGAAGCCCCCGGATGGGGATGCTCCTTACATCAGTGGACCCAGGCATCAAGGAGGTAGCCAACGTGTGCAACCAGAGCCTCATGAAGCTGGTCACCCCTGAGGACGATGAGCCTGAGGAGCCAAAGCCAGTGGTGCAGAGGCAGGCAGACCCCAACCCCGACAACTCTTCGGCAAAGCAGGAGGGGCCAGGCAGTGGTGAGTAGGCTTTGCCTCCTGCCCCTCACCTCCCAGGCCGGGCACCAGGGAACCAGAGGTCATAGTTGATTTGGTCGTAGTTAGCCTCACTAACTACTTTCCATACGTTAACTCATGACAACTCAATAAGGAGGGAAGCGCTATGATCCCCGCTGAACAGACAGACATGGGGAAGATAGATCACACAACCAGGACCTGGCCGTTGCTAAGTATCAGGGTTGGGATTTGAACCCTAGCAGTCTGTCTTGTGCTCTTAACCATTTTGCTTAGAAAGCCATTACTCCTCCCCCGAATCCTTCTCTGGGCTCAGCTACAGAAATGGTTTTCTGTGCGGGAAGGGTGGAGTGAGGCAGTACAGGTCTCTTGAATCTTGGCTGTAGACATGCAGCCGCCCTGCTGCTCTTCCTGCACCCGTCATCCTCACAGAGGGAGCTTGTTCGGTCTGGGGGAATTCTGTCACAATCATTGTCTTTAAAAAATGGAATGACTCTGCTCTCCTTTCAGACTCCGTAGCATCGTTGTCTTGTTTCTCTGTAACGTGAAGAAAACCATGTTTCTGCCAATTGGAGTCCGGAGTTTGACCCTCTAAATGTCGTCTAGAACTGACTTTTTCTCTCTCGATGTCTGTCCTCACTGAGGTCCCTGATCAGCTTTGGGATTATGTGCTCCTTTACAGAATCAGCCAGAGAGTACATTGATGCGGAACCTACTCAAATCTGTGAGTCTGGGACTTTGTCCCAGAAGGAAAGAATCGAGAAAGCATTCTCTCCCCTGGCCATTCTATGTGAGCATTTCAGGCACGCAGCCCTGGCCTCCTCCCATGGGTGTGGCGTGCTGGATTCTTTCAGGTGTCACGTTACAGCGGGGCCTGGCCTCTTGGGCCACAGTAGCAAAACAGCTGGAGGCAGAGCAGCACACAGCTGGAGCATTGGTGGTTCAGTGGTAGAATTCTCGCCTGCCACGCGGGAGGCCCGGGTTCGATTCCCGGCCAATGCAGCAGCTGGAATTTTTTTTGGCAGCTCCTTGAAAAAGGAAACTTGGGGAGATAAGTTAGTAGGAGCCTCCCAAGGCAGGAGCTTTCTCTCTGAGAGATATTAGAAGAATCTCGGGCATAGACATGTTTTGTGAACTTTGACTGATATATGAGTATTTTTTAATCTTTTCATTTTTAATTCTCGTTTTAGAAAATTTGGAAAGTGGGCGGAAATATAAAGAAGCAGGACTGTTCCCACCAAGAGCCAATCAGTATTATGATTTTGGCGTATTTTTTGCATTGTATGTATTTGAGGTCATACAGCTTGTACAGGGTGGGGCAAAAGTAGGTTTGCTTATATGGCAACCAGTCAGGCCTCTGGAAAGGAACCACCATCCTGTGGTCGAGGTAGCGGCTGGGAAACCAGCTGGAGCGTTGGTGGCTCAGTGGTAGAATTCCTGCCCGCCACCAGGAGGCCCAAGGTGGCCCAAGGCGGCATAATTAGCTCAGGTTTTAGGTAGTTTTCCTTAGCTTTCTGGAAACAGCTCCCTGCTCAGGAGAATCTTATCTTAACCAAGATGCATGCAGGCAACTTGGCTTCAGATTTTACTGCCTCATAAACAGCCTTTCGGCAGACACAAAGCTCACTTTACGGTAGTTCCCAGAGATGGCAACAGCTAATTGGGGCTCCGCATCCACTCCAGCCCTGCTTGTAACTAACCAGCACCTTACCAAGGCGCCAGGAGAAGGTGCCAGCAAGCCGGAAGAGTGATGATTTCACTGGTCCATGGGTTCATCCCAAACTCCCCCCTTCCTCCAGTCATTCTGTTCCTCTCTTCCAACCGGGCCCTCCTGGAGAAGGCAAGAGCCTCCGCCTGCTCTCCCTCGCCTCATGGCTCCCTCCTGGCTCCGTCTATGTTGCTGCATCCCACAGCACACCTCCTTCTTCACCGCTCGCCTCTGGCCACGCCCATGGGAGACTTGTCAGCCAGGCCTTCCGTGCATGAGCATGCACTCACACACACAGACTCACACACTGCTTCTCCCTCGCCTCTCACCACAGGGCTCCGGTTGGAACAGGCTCACGTGGGTGCCACACTGCACCCAGCCCCCTCTGCTTTCTCTGGCTCTCCCTCAGCTCTCCTGCTGGGGGGGGGGGGGGGGGAGGAGTCCAGTGCAGGGGCCCTCTCTGACTCTGAGTTCCTGTGGGATGTGATGTGTCTTTCCTGTCCCTCTCCGTGACATTCCCTAATGGTCTCATGTGCCGTGACCTGGCTCTGTTAGCCTCCTATCTGTTGCCCTTGGGCAAGTGGCTTGGCCTTTCTGTGCCTCAGATTCCTTGTTTGTTAAATAGGGCAGCAGTGATGACACAGCCCACAGTGTGAGGGCGAGTTTCAGACAAGAGTTTTGCACGTAAAGCTCTTAGCACATGAGAGAGGCACTCAGTTCCAGATGCTGTGGGGTCTGGTTGCTTTCATTCTGGTTAGAATAGATCCATCTCCTTAACAGTGTTCTCCCTTGTGTTAATCACTAGCCTTGCCCAGGTGGGTCCTAAAGGAGGGAAGGAGAGGGTCAGGGGTTGAAGTCCATGTGGCAAGTGAAGAGCAGAGCTATAAATAGGGTTCCGTGCAGGGCTGGTGACTGGGGGCAGCATGTGATGGACCCATCCGCTGCGGAGTTCTGACGCGGTGGGTGTATTATATCAGCACCTCCTGTGGGCTCTGCAGTGCAGGGGCGAGCCCCGGCACCTGCCTGCAGGAGCTCAGGGCTGGGCTGCCGGTGAGTCGCCCTGTGACTCTGGGCGTGGTCACAGGGCCCTGCCAGGCTCCAGGGGGGTTATTTGAACTGGATCTTTTCTTTCTCTTTAGCTTCCACTCTCCCTCATCCTCACCCCCATTCTATACTCTAATTATAAAGAAGAGATTTGGGGGAAGAAACAGACATTCCTACTGGGCGAAAGCAAAAAGTAAACAAGTTAAATATATTGTCTGGCAAGTATATTTAGCAGCGTGCATCAGAAGCCTTAAATATTTAAGAATTTTTTTAAGGCAATAAATAGGTTTTTCCTTTTAAACACCTAACAGGTGGTAGGTAGCCCATTGGTTGTCATAGCAAGCCTGTGGTGTCGATACTGTCATTACCCCACCATCCAGGTGAGGAACAAGTCAAGTAACCTGCCCAAGGGTCACACAGCCAGAAGGAGAGGAGTCAATGCTCACACCCAGTCCCAGGGACCTGAGTCTCTGCTCATAGCGATGTTTACACTGTGGTTCTCGGACGAGGAATTAATACAAAAGGGCAGCAAAGGTGCTTGGCCTGACTGGGGCTCCGAGAATTGCAAAGGAAAACAAAGTATGATTTTTATTCCGCTTGGCAAACATTTGAAGGATTACTGATATCCCTGTGGGGGCTTCGTGGGAATGACTGTTCCTCCTTTCTTGAATATACAGCGGTAGAACCCTCCTAAAGGGCCACTTGGCAATATTTGTTGGGGTGTCAGATGCCTGACCATCCTACCAGCAGCCCCCGTGTTCAGGAGATCTGGAGAAATGCTTACCCTCCTGCATAAGGAAGCAGGGGAGGATGTAAACGAAATTAGGAAACAATCGAAATTAATTGGAAGCCAGTTTCCGACATCACATCATTCCGTCTATAAATATGTGTGTTTTTGAAAGATGAGAGGGGAGAGGCCGGCCGCCAGGGGCATGGAGCTCCAGCTGCTTTTCCAGGCTGCTGGTCCAGGCCGGCCTGCCCCCCCTTCACACATCCTCCTCCGTCCCGGGGGCCGCTCAGCAGGCCCAGCTCAGGCCCAGCCCCCACCGCGCTGTGCCACGTCCTCCAGAGGCTCTCTGCTCAGACTTTCTGTTGAGCGGCGACGAGAGGGCACCTGCCTAACTGGTTCAGTAGTTTCCCGCGCGCAGAGCGAAGATCAAAGGCTGAGGAGGGACGGGCTTGGCTTTGTTTTCGACATTTTCAGAGTGAGGACATGTTTTACTTGTATGATTATAAAACTGTTCAGAGGCCAAGGCTGGTACCATTTGAACGATATACGTAATAATAGTTTTAATTTTAACCCACAGAATAAAATATGTGTCCATAGTGATACGGGATGGATGGACAGATTGCTAGGTAAATGGAGAAGAGACAGCTTCCTTATAGCTGGCAGCTGTTTAGCCTCTTCGGGAATTGCCAGTCTGGTTTCCATTCCCGCCAGCAGTGTGTAAGGCTTCCAGTTTCCCCACATCCTCACCACCAAGCGTCACTATTACCTCTCGTGGGTGTTAGCCATCGGAGTGGGGGTGGAGTGGTATCCCATTGCGGTTTTGCGTTGCATGTGCCTGGCGGCTAACGATGTTGAGTGTCCCAGAAGTCACTTTTAACATCCATTGCCCGCGGGCCCGAAGTCCCTTCTGACCTTTCCCAGATGAGTCCCGTGCTGGTGTCCCTCTCCTTGTGAGGTCACATGCCTCAACTCGTCCGAGCCCGGGTCCTAGCCCCAGGCTTTGGGGAATGAGCGGCCGTGGGTTCTCAGGGCTCCGGAGCCATGTTCCTTTTCAAGGGCTGGGATCCAGGTGCGGGGGACCGAGAGGCTGTGTTTTTATAACCGGGATCTTGTTCATTCAAAAGGCCCAGCAGCCTTTAGCATGACGCATTGTTCCTCTTACTCTCCCAGGAGGCCCCGATGTTTCTTGTGACTCCAGCTTCAGTAGTGGCATCAGTGTCTTCTCTCCAGCCAGGTGAGTGGGTTGCTCAGCCAGAGGTGTTTGTGAAAAGCGAGCAGCCTAGACCTTTCTGGGTGCAAACTGCGTGGGGCCGCCGCTTATGGGCACAGGAGGTGCCTGGTGAGGGGATCTGAGACGCGGATCAAGCCTCTCTCCCCCAGCTCTGATGGACAGAGAGCTGTCTGAGGGGAGTGGGGATTAGAAGCTCCTGCTGGTCAGAAGCATAACTAATGGCGTGGCGACTACAGGACACTTGCAGTCACCGCTGCCCAGCACCTTTTCCTGTCCAGGAGGACGTGGGGCTGACAAGACTGACGATGGGAAGGCTGTGTGAGGACAGGCTGGGTTACAGGCGGCAATTGGTGGAGTCTAAGAGTGCATGGACATGGACTGGACAGCAGGGGTGTCCTCTTCTAGGCTCCTGGGTTGGCTGTAATTGCACAGCCTTCCACATGGGGGCAGTGCAGGCCAAGCATGGAGATCATTCCCTTCCCTGCCAGCCCCCTCCCTAGTCTGCAGGGTGAGGGCATTCCCCTGGGAAGGAATTATCACCATGCTGTCCTTGTCTGAGTGATTCTAAGGACATGGCCTATCTCACTTTTCCCTTCGGTGGAATTGGCACTGGTGGGGCCAGAGTGGATAGCGATTCTCCTGCAAATGGGTTTTTTCCCTTTGAACTCAGGCCTGGGAAACCAGTCCCTCGGGAAGGAAAAATGTGCACTCGGTCCCAAGAGGCTCTGTTCTCCCCAGACTCTTGGATCTTCCCTCCTTTTATATCATTTTCCACTGATTCTTACCTTTAAGGACCTGTGCATGTTTTCTAAGTGTGCGGGTGCTGGTTATAAACATGCACTGCTCCTAGGACCATTCGCAAGTTGTTCAAGCAAACCAGTAAGCTTCCTTCATCCACTCGTTTCAGTTAGGTGCCGTGCGCTCCTGCACCTGCCTGCGGGTCCCAAAGGGGAGGTACCACCCTTGAACATGGTCCTTGACCTTGAGGTTCTCTGTGGGGAGGCAGAGAAATAATCCGGAAGTTGCCAGAAAGGGTGGTGATTGCTATGACGGGGACTCTGGTGTGGGGGGCAAGCGACAGCGCTGAGCTGAAGCTGGAATGGTGTCTGACGGGGATGAGCTCTCGGTGTGGCTGCGTGATTCCTAAGCGCTTGCCTTGCCAGCTACTTTGTGTCACATCATTAGACTTTGCCGATGTTTCAGTCCCTTGGGGTCCGTGGGATTATTGTCTCCACGTTAGGGCTGAGGAGGGACAGGAGATCCCGGAGCTGCTGTGCAGAGGACTCACGTAGGAAGGACTCGGGAGGGTGCAGACTGGTCAGGAGAGCTAGAGGCTCAGCCTGAAGGGGTGGCAGCATAGGGAGGAAAGTTGGATCGATTTGATATCTGTTTTGAAGGTAGAAGTGACAGAATCTGCTAGTGGGGTGCAGTGAAAGGAGAGAAGTGACAGAAAGAATAACTTCTGGTCTGGGGCTTGAGCCAAATCAGGATACCTGGTGTCGTTTCCCAAGGTGGAAGGAGGGACAGGTGAGTGAGAGGGCCAGTCTGACAAAGGTGGCTCTGGACATCCCCTAGAGTGGTTAAGGGGGCAGGTGTGGGTAGTGAATTCTGGAACTTGAGGGAGAGGTCTGGATGGAGAAGCAGGGAGACGGTGTCCCACAGAGGACATAGACTGGTGTTCTGAGGCTGTGGGAGCCAGCGGTACAGGCGGGAGAGAGGGAGCAGACCTGTGGTTTAGAAGCTCCTCTGGCATCCGGGGAGGATAGGTGAGGGAGAGGGCAGACTGACCGCGGAGAGGCCTGTTGCAGGCGGGTCTCTGTAACTGAGGCTACAGGGATTGTCCTAGTCCATGGACGTCCATGCCCACCCCCTCTATTTCTTTCTCTCTCTCTCTCTCTCTCTCTCTTACTGAACCAGGCAAGTCCTCCTCTCTCGTAGTGGAGTCCCACTTTCTAGGCGTCCATCCTGGCCCCACCTTGCAAACAGCTTGAGTTCTCGCAGCCTCGGCTCTCTCGTCTGGAGACTGGGTGTGACGATGGTACCGCCTTCATAAAGGCCTGAGCTTATGTGAGCTGAGCTGTGTCTAGCACATAGGATGGGCCTGGCCCACAGAAAGCACTTCCCACTCCAGCCGTAATTGTCACCACGGGGACCTTGTTATCAGCCCCGCTCTACCAGTGAAGAACCAGGCCACGGAGGTTGACTTTTGCCCGAAGTCATTCAGCTAATTAGTGGCCACGCGGGAACCTCTGATGCTCGTGGCTGCAGAGCCGCAGGAGCTCCGTGGATTGCTTTAACCCCCTGACCAGGAGCTGACAGGCTCCTGCTCTGATGCTGAGGACATTCAGGACAGGTCCCGGGAAAGCCGGGGCCCTGTCCGTGACCTAGGCAAGCACATAGATCTAGAAATCGTGCTTCCCAGCTTTCAGCATCTGCTGATTGGAAAAAAGGTAGAAAAACTCTCTTTCTTTTTTTCCTTCTTTTTAGTTTTAGTTTTAGCTTCCTTTTGATTTGGTTAGAGATGTGACATATGAGTACACTAAAGAGTTAGACATTACAGAAATAAAGTGCTGCCTCCCAGAGAGAGCCACTGGAATTTGTCGTTATTTATAGGTGGTATCGGAAGCATTATTCAGTAAAGAGGTATTTTAATAGCCACTGTAGCGCCATGCCTTTGGAAATTGTAGTCCATATATACAAAGTAAGACATTCGTTATGAGATGCTTTATGAAAAAGCGCTCGGTGAAAATGGGGTTTTGCAGACACCTTGAAATAACTCAGAAGCCCCAAGAGTGATTAGTCTAGACTTTCTGGAACCCACGCAGAAACCTGTTTTAAACTGAGAAAGCCAGGGCGGGGGGTGCCCCACCTCGGGCTCCAGCCCAGCAGCTCAGGGGCTGAGCACGCCATGCAGCCTGCGCTCTCCAGGAAGGGCCCATGTTTCCAGAGTCCTCGCTCCCCACTGAGCATGCTCAGAGCCCAGCGCACAGCAGTTCCCCCCCTCCCTCACACCTGGTGAGCAGCCCAGAGCCGCCTCAGAGACAGGTGGGATCATCACTTCTCCTGTTCCCAGCACTGAGATCAGTCTCCTGGGGCGTGCCTGCTTCCCTCGACCGTCACCTCCAGCCAGTCACAGAAGTGACACCCAGGGAGAGTGTCTCCAGCTGAGAAATGAGTTCTCTGTGCCTCTCTCAGCCTCAGTCCATTGAAGGATCAGGGTACATGAACTGTGAGAGGTCCTTTCAGGTATAAGGCTGTGGTTGACACCTACCCCTCCAGCAGTCTGAAGTGCCATCTCTGGGAGTTGTGCTGAGGCTGGCGTGTGCTGTGAGAAAAGCCAGAGGCTCTTAGGCCAGTTCGCATACAGACTCCTTAAAATCCTCCCCTTTGTTACTTGGCCCTGACAGTGCCACCTGAGGGACGCCATGGGCTGGTTCTTGCTTCCTGCCCTCAAAGACACTGAGCTGGCCAGAAGCATCTCAGAATCACTGTGAGTGAAAGAACATTGCTGTCCAAGGACCATCCAGCCTGCGCCCCTTCAGATCACTAGATTTGGGCTTTCCCCCAGAGATACCAGCTTCCCCAGTGTCCTCTCTCCCTAATGAAGGCTTCGTCTGCCCTCCTGATGAGAAGATACACTGAAAAGTGTGTGTGACAACCCCTTTCTCCCTCCACCATGTGGGGCTGCCATCCTGCTGCCCCTGCCAGGGGTCAGTTGGAACCGATGCCACCGGGGACTCTCCTGAGCCTGGCTCCTTCGGGCAGTGGGTGCCCTGTGGCCAGCCTGGACTCAGACTGCCCAAATTCAGATCTCCGGCTCCACCACTTCCTGGCTGTGTAACCTTGAACAGGTTACTGACGTCTCTGTGCTTCCGTTTCCCGTCTGCAGAACGGGAATAACATTGTATGGGCCTGAGGGAAATAATGAGGCTCTGCAGGTACAGAGCTCGGCACAGGCCTGACACAGAGTATTTACCCAAGAAACGTGCGTCATCATTTCCAATACCACATCCTCCTCATGGTCACACCAGAGCCCTGCGTCTCCCTGACGCCCCCAGCCCAGGTTCATACACACCCCCGGGCCTGAACTGCCAGGGTTTGGCACTGCCTTCCTCCCCACCAGCAGCTCCGGACAGTGCTTCCTCAGTGCAGCGCAGTCCCCAGGCAGGCAGAAACCAGGCCCTCCTCCCAGGGGAGTCATGGCGCAGGCACGGGTGCTCCTTCGCAGCCAGCCGGCAGCCAGAACGTGCCGCTTCTGCTGGGGAAAGGGACTCACCCAGGCCCGACCTGGGGCTTGGGGAGTGAGGGAAGCTGGGTGGAGGCTTGGTTGCTGTTCATTCCCTCTGCCTCCGAGCTCCTGCCTTGGGGAGGCCCTGGGCTGTGCAGGCTCCTGCACCCCGGTCCCTCCGGCAGGGAGAAGAGCAGGGAGGGAGCTCACCGCAAAGAGCCGCGAGGGGCCAGCAGGATGGGAAAAGCAGAACTTGAAGATAAGTAGATCGTGCAGGGAGAGGGGACGTCTAGCCAATGGTTAGACAAAGAGAAATGCTTAGGAAGCCCTGAGCGGGTTGGTGTGGAGCTGTGCCGTCCACGCACATGCAGAAGCCAGTGTCCCACGTGGCTCGCGAGCTGTGCCGTCACCGTGAGACGCACTGGGCTTCAAAGCCTTGGGCACAAGAGAAATAGAAGGCACCTTGTCAGTGACCTCTGTGTTCGATATCAGTTACATGTTGAAAGGGTAACGTTTGGGGCATATTGGGTTAATTAAAATGTGTTCATTTCCCCTGTTTCTTTTTACTTCTTAATACAAAACCAGGAAACGTTGAATTCCATGTGTGGCTCCCATTGTATTTCTCCTGGACAGTGAGCGTGAGAGAGAGGCTGAATGAGAGGGTGGTGGGAGCCCACAGGGGCCGCCCCACGTGGTCTGTGCAGGAGTTCCCCGTCTGTTTAAGGCCCCCCAGGTCCTAGATGCTGGGTGTCCTTGGGAGGCCCCGGAACTCCCCACTTCTCGGGGCTCTCAGGGAAATCTCAGGGGCAGCCCTGGCCAGAGGATGGACGTGCCCAGTGTAGCCCCGAAACGAGCACTGTGGGGAATCATCAAACCCTATTAAGTAGCAGTTCCGTTTAGCACTTACAAAGCTCAGAGCTTTGCCCTTTAGGAATACACATCAAATAAGCTTCAGAGAAGCTGCGGGCGAGTTAGGGAAGCACAGGCACTGAGTTCCTGGCGCAAATGAATAATTGAGCAGCCTGGAAATACCACGGAAGACCGTTCTGTGCAGGCGGGAACTGAGGCCCTGTCACTCGGGTCGTGGCCCCCGGGGGCGAATGCAGTGCGACGCAGAGCCGCTCCCTAGCATCCTCGGGTTTTCTGCCCATGCCGTCCCATCCCCGAAAACTCCAGCCTCTGGGCCCATGCTTCCATGTCCCAGCAGCCCCAGCCCTCCGGAGACCAGCAGGGCTTTGGCCAGTAAGGCCGGCGTCCGTGTCCCGCTGAAGCAAAGCACGTCTAGACAACTGTGCTTCTCAGGCCGAGGCCGACTTCCCGGCCAACGGGAATGTCACTGTTTCAGAGGCAACTCAAGGCTGCTCGCTTAGGCCGCCCCTGTGCTGAGTGCCCTGGGGGCCGACAGACAAGAAGCTGCGGTCCCTGACCTCCCCTGAGCAATGTTCTAAGGCGCTGTGGGGCTAAGGGGTGTTGGCAGGGCCTTTTCCTGGACTTTGTGGACGAGGTGGCTTTATTTATCACACAGGGTCCGGACTGAATGTGCTGAGGGTGCTCCCTGGCCTTCAGCCCTGAGGCCTGCGGGGGCCCAGCTCAGTGACACTCGAGAGGATTTCTACCGTAGCAGCGAGGCCAAGAAAAGGGGGAGTGGGTGGGGCCCCAGCAGCCTGGCCCCTTCCTCCCGGTGTGGCTTCCAGGAGGGAGGGAAAAGGCCTGGCGACCGTGTGTGCGTCTGTGCTCTACGCCAGGGGAGCGGGCAGGACGTGGTTCTGAGTGTGCAGGGCGGGGTGGGTGGTGCGGGCTCGCTGGGGAGGGCTGCCGTGGCCTCAGCTCCTCGCTCTCGCCCCCCCCCCAGCACTGAGAGGGTCCCAGTCACCCTCCACCTGGACGGGATTGTGCAGGTGCTGAACTGCCACCTCAGCGACATGGCCATCGGCATGATGACCCGGATCGCCGTCCTGAAGTGGCTTTACCACCTCTACATCAAGACTCCCCGCAAGGTGAGCCCCAGCCTCATGGGCCCAGAGGTCCCTCCCAGCCCGGGGCAGTTCCCGGGTCCATCGGGTTCCGAGGGCCTGCGCCTGCATGTAGGGTCTGGGTCACTGCAGCTCTGGAGCAACCCTGCATGCAGGGCAGTGGCAGGTGCCTGAGGAGCCGTCAGTGTCGGGGGTGGGGAAGGTGGTGCGTGCAGGGGACCCTGCCCGAGCTGAGCCCAGGCCCGGAGCGAGGGAGCTCACGGCGCCCCGCTCTCCGCTCTGCAGATGTTCCGGCACACGGACAGCCTCTTCCCCATCCTCCTGCAGACGCTGTCGGATGAATCTGATGAGGTAAGTGCACAGCACCCCTCCCCTGTGACTTGGCTTCCCGGCCGTCCCTTTGAATGACGTGGGCTCTTGTAGCTGAGAGGTGCTTGTTTTGTTCTCTTAAAGCAACACCCAGAAAGTGCCCTGGTCCTCATACCTGGTAAGATGGCCAGGCAGAGGGAAAGCTTGATTTGCTGCCCTTGGCTTAGAGAGTAAGGGCTCCTCCTCTGTTGGCACCCTGGGTCAGGGCATCTGCAAGGAAACGACGTCTGCACAGGCAGCTCGCTGGCCCAGGATGGCAGTGGAGAGTGACAACGGGGAGCATGACTGTGAGTCAGGCGCCGAGTGCTCGGTCTGGCCTTGCTTCATTGCCTGAACTTGAGCAAGACACGTCTCGACCCTGCGTCTCCTTTCTCCCATGTACAGTAGGGTAGTAAGAGCACATGGGTGGTGAGAATGAAACACTTCTCGGAACATGCCTCCGTGCCAGGCTGTGTGCACGCTGAGCACTGTGAGGGCTGGTCGTGCTGTTCATTGCAACTGGGCTCCATTTTGACCTCAGGTTTGAAGTTGGAACCCTCTGCTTTGCTTTGTTGGGGTCACCAAGGGCTTCTGGTGCAAAGGCCCAGAGTCTGGCCCGGATCCTGGATCCCGAGTGGGGAGCTGGCCGATGCGGGGAGCTGGGCTCTGGGTCCTTCTGCCATCTGGGGGCTCCTCCAGCCGCACACCTTTCCCCACACCGTTCTCGGCAGCGCTCTGTTCCGGGGAGCTAGGGTAGGTGAGTCCTTTTTCAGGGCAGGATTTGCAGCTGAGCATTGTCACTTGCCAGGGTGGCATCCCGCCGCCACCCATGCCAGCTCCAGGCTGCAGGGCAGATGCTGGCTGCTGGGCCTTCGCACCGCTCCTTCCTTCTTCCAGGCCCTGGGCAGCCGTGGGCTCCAGGCAGAGCTGTGGTCCTCCACGAGGCTGTGGGTCCTGACTACAGACTCCCACAGAGCCCACTGGGAACGTGGGAGTGGACAAGGGCTGGAAGGTGGGGGAGAGAGGGACATGGCTCACAGCTTCTTATGGAGTAAGCCACCTCGGTCCTCCCTGGGCTGGTACCAGGCTGGGTGGGGCGCGGTGCCACGGCAACTGTCCTCAGCCTTCACCTGAGCTGAAAGGAGATGCAGACAAGCAGATGTCTGCCCCTAAGTCCTCTAAGGCAGCGGTCGCCAACCAGTGGTCCGTGGACCACTGGTGATCCGTGAGGTCCGAAAAGTTGGCGACCGCTGCTCTAAAGTAATCGGTGTTTCCAGAAAAATCCGAAACGGATGGTCTAGGAATCTGCCCTTGACCCCTCCTGCATGCCCACCACATACACACACACATTCAAGCAGCCACACACGTGCGCAACCACACACCCTCTCTCCCTTTCCCCACCACCACTGCAGTGCGAGCCCAGGTGGACTTGGCCCCGTTCTGCCTGGATTGAGAGTGACTCACTGCACAGTCACAGCCCTCATTTCAATACAAAAAGGAAGAGAAGAACTTGGCTGATTGGCTCCTTCCCTGGGATCTCACTGGAAGCAGCTGAGTCCTCAGTCTTTTAAATGGAGCTGGTTAATCCCATCCAGCCTCTGCTTGCAGTTGGTTTTGTGTGCTGAGCCTTTAGGGATGGGAGGAGATGCAGTCCATTAAGCAGCTCTGTTCAGGCCTCCGCTGTGGAAACTCCATTTGCTGAAGCTCCGAATGTTGTCAGAGCTCTGGGGCACATCTCGTGGGCCTTGGGCGCGGCTGGGATGGCACCTGCTCTTGGGGACAGTTGCGGGGGTGGGATGGGGTGGGATGGGGAGGAAAGAGTCCCTGCTTTTCCTCTAGGGAATGGTTGGGACCTCGGTAAACAGTGGTGCCACATCCTGCTTCTTTACCAAAATCACATTCCTAAGCGCCCCCTGTCCAGTCTCTGGCGACTTTGAGGGCTTCCTGGGTACTTGGCAATGGCCAGCCAGCCATGAACAAGACAGTGTCCCCTTCTCCTGCGGTATCTAGAACAGCCCTGATTTCAACTCAACTCCCTGGGGTTCAAGACCCTGAAGGCCATTCAGTCGAATGAAACTACAGCCAAACGGGGGTTGGGGTGGGGGTAGGAGTAGAGGGTGGGGGGACCTTCCTATTAAAGGCTCCTGGAGTCTAACGGATCCAACAGTCCCTGCAAGGTCCTTTGTCCAGCTGGGGCCTCAAGGCACAGCTCTTCCCACAGCTTGTATGATTCTGAATAGCAGCTTCCTGTCTGAAGCCATTACTCTGCCAGGGGCTGCTATACTCTTCACTCGGAGTATTGAGCGAGGCCTCAGCAATTCTCTGGGAGAGTCCTTTTTGCAGTTCAGAAAGCAAAGGCCTTGGGAGGTTAAGTAGCTTGCACACAGCTGGGACGTGGTGGAGTACCCTCAGAACCAGGTCTGTTGGACTCCAAAGCCTATTCCTTCAGTCACATAACTACCATGCCTGTGTTTCACCCCATGCGGCCTGGCTACCCCTTCAGAACCAGCTGGGGAGATGGGGGGGGCTCGTATCTAATTGTATCATCCTCCTCATTTCTGGCCACTTTCTCTTGTTCTACAAGTTCTTGAGAAGAATTCTGCTTGGGGTGATAAGGGGTGTGTATTCTGAGAAAGGTCTCCCATTAGCTCCCAGACCCTTTGTCCACTTTTCTTATTGATTTCTAGAAGCTCTTTGTATATTGGAGACATTAGATTCATCATCTCATTGCAGATGTTTTCCTCTCCCAGTATGATTGTGATTAACGCACGTGCTTCTCGCCCTTGGTGAGAGCCGCTGGCCTCAGGAGACGAGTGTACGCAGGTGTTAATGATGCAAGAGCTGGGCTCAGGGAGGGGCGGGTGCAGACCTAGCTCAGCCCTCCACCAGGTTCCGTAGTCCCGCCGGCACCTGGCCCCGCGGGTATGTCTTGTCTGCTACTGGTCCTCCGTTCTGTCCCGGTGCCAGCTCAGTAGTACACAGCCTTCTGACTCCTCAGTTGTCTCTGTTTTCCCGTTGTTCAGGATAAGTGGCTGTTTGCTCAGTACCGCCTGCTCCTTGCAGACTTTGTCTGAAATTCCCTTTTATCAGGAAGAATTTGAAGGAGTTAATTGATATTCTTAGCACCAGAACAGAAATCCTGTCATTAGCCAGAGATCCACTTACTCGTTTTCACGTGACAGTGTGCCCTGATTCAACAGCGTGGGACGCAGGGCACATGCTCAGAGCTTCCTGCCGGATGCTGGTGGGGAGCGGGGCCCCTCTGCTCCTGCCGGGAAGATGCAGTTGTTGGCTGCCTCCCGAGCCTGAGCTGCCTGAGTGAGCTCTACCCGGAAGCCCCACGGGTCCTCTCCATGTTCTGACGGTGTGGCTGGCCCGGGAGGGGTCTCAGGTCACCCCTCACCCCACCCCACTCCCAAGCACAGCTATCTCCACCCGCATTTAAAACCCTCAAGGTGTGACGGTGGGTTCTTATCATTGTACATTTGTCCAAACCCACACTAGGTACACCAGGAGTCCTAATGTAAACTGTGGCTTTGGGGGGATAATGATGGCATCAGTGTAGGTTAATCAATTACATCCAATGTGGTGGGGGATGGTGGACAGTGATAACGGGAGAGACTACGCAGGGGCAGGTGGATGTGAGAAATCTCGGTGCCTCCCGTTCAGTATTGCTGTATACCTAAAACTGCTCTAAGAAATAAAGACTATTTCAAACAAACACATGTAGCATTTTTTTTTCTTTCTTTCTTTTTTAATATCAGTCTTAGGAGAGACCTGGAGGGAGGCTGGTTGCCTCTGACTGAACATAGCGTCCGGACAGTTGGCCTCCAGGCCTGAGCTTGAATCCTAGCTCCCGCCCCTTCTTCCCAGGGACCTTGGGCAGGGAGTCCAGCCTCCTTGATCTGATAGATGGGAATGATGATGTCTACTCTTGCCTCATAGGCCCTTGTTTAAAGGGATGGTGAGCCCTAGCTGCTTTGGCTCAGTGGATAGAGCATTGGCCTGTGGACTGAAGGGTCCTGGGTTCCATTCCAATCAAGGGCACACATCTCGGTGGCAGGCATGCCCATCCCCAACCAAGGTCATAGCTCATGTGGGCAGCAACTAATGGATGTGTCTCACATCAATGTTTCTCTCCTCTCTGTCTCTCCCTCTCTTCCACTCTCTCTAAAAAAAAAAAAAATTAATGGAAAAATATCCTCAGGTGGGAATTAACAAAAAATAAGCAAATAAAGGGATAGTGAAAGCTCCTGCCCACATGGGAACAGCCTGTCATTGCACGTTCTTTAGGGAGACGTTGGGGAATGGGCTTTTTACTGTGATGACCTCTTCCCACCCAGAGCAGGACTCATCCCGTTTACGTGAGTTGTCTAGTAAGGTTTCAGGGTCTTTTTTGTAGGTCTGACTCATTATGAAGTTAACTATTGGTGTTTCGGGTTTTGTTGTGATTTTGAGTGGCATCCCTTTCTGGTAATGTTTTCTCTGCAGCGACAGTGCAGCCTGGTGGTGAAGAGCAGGGCTGTGGGGTCTAGAAGTCCCGGAGTCCTGTCCCGGGTTCTGCCACATGTTGGTTGGCCTTGAGCAGGTGGCCTACCCTCTCCAAGCCCAGTTTCCTCACTCGAAAACCAAGAGTAATAGTGGAACCACCCTCCCAGGTGAGATCATGAATGTAAAATGCTCGACGCAGGCCCAGCACGTGCAAACAAGCAGCAAATGTTAGCCCCTCTGGTGTAGGGCCCAAGGGCAGGGACACTGAACTCAGGAAGATGGGCTGTGCGTTGCCCCAGAGCCTTCCTGCCTTGGCTTCAGCAGCAAAAGCCGGGACAGAAGCTGCTCTTTGTCTTCAGGACCACACAGGCCCCGGGCAGATGGCCAGGGTAGGCAGGGTGTTTGGGGGCTCATCATCCATCTCCAAATCTTAGAAAAAGCAAAGGCAAAACAGGGGGCAGCAGAACTGGTGCCCTTCTCCCCTTTTCCACCTTCTCCGCCAGCCCCCTCCA